ACCAGGTCGTCGCCTGCGGCCAGGACCAGGTCCAACAGGTTGTGACCTTCCAATCAGTGTGGAAGCAACACTTACATGAACCTCCAAATGGTGGCTGCAGCAGTAAGATTAATCAAGTCTGCTGGAATATGCTAATTAGCCTCCACATCTCATGTATCAGTGTCCCTGCACTTGAAAATGGTGGTGGGGGCACTTTAACTAAAGCTCATTTGATGAGCTGTAGTTAAAGTGACCCTGCCACCATTTTGAAGCACGAGGACACTGATACTTGAGATGCTGTAGGTGTTCTAATTAGAACAGCTCTCAGAGACACTCTGATTAAAGCACCCCCCACCACCACCCCAGGAGCACACAGAAGAATGTCCACAATATGTAATGACACTAAGAAGGCCAGGTGAACCTTTGACACAGCTATGAACTGTGGTTGAGATCTACCAGTATACCCAGATAAGAATCATATAGGAAGAAATACTCTAAAACTGGGAGCCAGTCCTTATGCTAAATGAGACTAGTTCATGACAGTGAAATAGTAACAATCTGTTTTTTTGAGACTGTTAGTGTAAGGATCTGACCAAAGAATTAAGAACTGAGGAGTAAAGAGTAGGCATCGCTGCTGGAACAGAAAAACTTAAATACCTATTAAAGATTTTGCATACAATAAGAATTTCCTCAATCTAAATGTCAAAGGTACTTTTGGGACTAAAGGAAGACTGTCAGATGAACCAATTTCTAGTTAACAGCACACACAGCCAAGCTCTGGAGGCCCAGGATACAAATCTAAAGTTATGTCTGTAAGTATTAAGTGCCAGGACTCTGGACAGTGTTGCTTAGTAGATGTTGAAAAAAAACAAAGCTCTGATGGATACTGGAAATGTACAAATCTTTCTTCCAATAATTAATACAAATAACAAATTGATCAATCATAATAACCTATGTAAATGCAAAGTATAGAGCCTGTCTGAATATTAGAATCATGACAAGGTTCACAGACCTATCACATTGAGACCATTCAGAGGGAGTGTTGCTAGGGTTAACCATCTCCTTAGTGGAGTACAGCTGTTGTGTGCTGATTGCAAGGCTTATCAAGGTAGTTAATGGCAGGGGAGTATGCAAGTTTTGGTAGAATTAAATAACTTCCTAGGATTTTCCTAGTAATTAACAGGGAGATGCTTCTGGACAGCAGGCAATACTCTAGAGAGGTGAGACTATGGCACTGAGAGCTAGACCTCCAGATTGGATGCAAAACACTAAGAGCATAGCAAATTTCATGTCAGATCAAGACAGTTTTCATTTCTTCCAGCAACCTGTCACTGACAGTGGGTAGTAACAGACACTTTGGGTATAATTCTGTTTCCTTTTGTGCACCTAAATGGGCATTTTGAGCCCTGCCTCTGCACTGTAGATATGTGAGCAAGCACACATAGACTAGCATTCACAATCACATGAATGTCTTGAGTGTAAAGTCTAGGAAAACTGGGAAGAGGGTCCTCCCATGTTTTAGCCTCAGTTACTGAATGATTAGTGCATTTGCCCAGGAAACAAGTTCTGGGTTCTGGGTTTTGAACAGAAAGTTCATATATATTCGTGATTAAAGAGTTTTAAAAAATTAGGCAGAGCCTCAATCACGTGAGAAATGCTAACTGATTCTAGGGGGACCTCTTGGAGTAGTAAGTTTTATAAGATTGGTCTCTAAAATCTGTATGGAACAAATATAGATTATAATTTAATACAAAATATCAGTTGAGAAGTTTCATAGTTTCATAGTTTCTAGGGTCGGAAGGGACCTGAACAGATCATCTAGTCCGACCCCCTGCCATGGCAGGAAGAGCACTGGGGTCAAACGACCCCAGTAAGGTGGTCATCCAACCTCCTCTTAAAAAACCCCAGGGTGGGAGCCTGCACCACCTCATTTGGAAGCTGGTTCCAGACCCTAGCCGCCCTGACCATGAAGTAGCGCCTCCTGATGTCCAACTTAAACCTTCCCTCCGCCAGCTTGTGACCATTGTTCCTGGTCACTCCTTGCGGCGCTCGGGGGAACAGGGACTCCCCCAGCGCCTGCTGATCCCCCCTAACCAGTTTATAACAGGCCACAAGATCCCCCCTCAGCCTTCTCTTTTGAAGGCTGAACAGGTTCAGGTCCCGCAACCTTTCCTCATAGGACCTACCCTGCTGTCCCTTGATCATACGAGTGGCCCTCCTCTGGACCCTCTCCATGTTGTCCACATCCCTCTTAAAGTGCGGCGCCCAGAACTGGACGCAGTACTCCAGCTGCGGCCTGACCAGTGCCACATAGAGGGGAAGGATCACCTCCTTGGAGCTGCTCGAGATGCATCTGTGGAGATGAAATGAGATGCACGTTTCAGCAGTGTTCTCTAAAATACAGTCTCTATATCAACATAACCTTCCTGATTTTTGGTTCATTCAGTGAAATTAGCACACTATTCCCAAAAATTTATAGAGAGCAGGAGAAATTATTTCCAGACTTTCATATATACTAGATGTACCATTTTCTAAAATGTAAACAAATCAGAGCCAGTTGAGCCATAATCCTGATCTCAGCTTAAAGGAAATCAGAAACACAAATGTTTGGATTAACAACCCCCCTGAAAAGTAAGTACTTTGCTGTTGACCTTCAGCCCTGTATTTTCTCTGTTTCAGCAGTATCTGCCTCGTTTCTGTTCTTTAGACTGTACTGCAAAGTAATATGGCTAATCACAATAGTAATTCTTATGTCTGGTAATTTGCAGGTTCAGCATCCTAAAGACTGATCCAGAGGACATTGAAATCAGTGGGGAGCCTGTCATTGACTTTGTTAGGTTTGGCTACTACTGAATATCATGCAGTTAAGATACAGCTGAGATCAGACGGAATCACAAGTTGGTAAACATTAAGAATTATTGCAAGATTTGCCTTAAATGTTCCAACATAGAAAACCTGATCCACTTAAAAAAACAAATAAGACTAGGTATGTGAGTAGTTTTATGAAAGTCAATGTGACCACTTAGTGTACTCCTGTATTTAGCTGAATCCCAGCCTAAAGTTTTAATTTTTTTCACAGACCTGACTTTACTGTTCTACCTTGTTACTGTCCCCATAAGCTCTCCAGGCAGGAAATCAGGCAGTTTTCTGTAGGAAATGTACCAGTGTTTTAGCAGGAGTTCACTGTAACTTATACATTTCCATGAAACATTTTGGTTTCCATAAGTCTTTGCTTTCCAACAAAAACCTCTTCTGTTAGAAAATTATTAATCAGATTCAGTTACACAGATATCAGCCAAGCAGGTTTGGTTAAAAGAATCAAATTAATCCTTTAAATCAAATTGTAAATAAAAAAAACTTTAAAACAAAACAAGTCAGTATGAAGATGAACATTGATGTTTACATTTTTTTCACACACTCTCATTTTCACTTTGTGTCAGTACAGAAACATGGAGTCCAGGAACAGATTCCATGTCATGTAGAAAAAAAGGAACATTTTTAAAAGTAACTCATACTGCTATTCAGTGCAGCATATCTCTGTCATGTTATTTTCAAAGGATAAAAATCATTATTTTAGCCTGTGCAAATATAATTTTCTCTTTCATTTCTGCCCTCTTCCAAGCAATCCAAAATCCTCGGCAGCATGAAAAATACTCTGACCCGTAGCAGCAACAGTAACCTGTTTCCCTTTCAAAATATACTGATAGAGCACTTTTATGTGATGACATTTTAACCTGCAAATAAAGCAAAATGGTTACTGCTGTCATTAAATAATGAACTGTGTAAATTTCAGCTGTTGGGCATGAATTCAGTGCCTTCAAGAGTGAAAAGAGATATTTCCCATGGTTATGATTTCTGATGTTCATACTCTGAAATAATCCATACAGTGGTATGGTCTGGGTGAATCTAATTTTTTTTTGCACCCTTACTCATACCTAAAAGGTCTCAGGAAATAATAACAAAGCCTATTTTATTACGACTTCAACCTTGAGGCTAGAATTGGCTTGGTACAGTGCTATAGTGTAGTAGTATATTTTATCCTCAGTTTTATCATTTTACTTCCAAATATTTTATGTGTTTCCTGACAGTTCATGTTAAGTTACTTTATTCCCACTGAACTGGAAAAAAATCTGAAGTTGTTATACAGAGATATATCTCTAAAGGTAACATAAAAGTAGATAGCAGTGTGTGTGCATGCCCTTGCATGTGGTTGGGTGGGTTCTAGGAAATGGAAAACACAATACACATATATGAAAAAGTCTTAGTCTTCTGGATATTTAAGTTATGTCTCACAGAGGTAGAGTATTCATAAGACCAGTTAAATTCTGTGGGAATGCCTATGCAACTGAAAACAGGGCCTTTAATATATTTTTCATCAACATTCTCAGGGCCAGATTAAGGCAATCCACAGCAAAGTCCCCATTTTGCGTCACTCCACCTGCATATGCTTGTGCCATTTGCTAATGCCCAATTTAAGTGGAAGGTGGCAGGACTCACCATTCTTTAATGAAAACCAAGGGTCACTTTGGAGAGACCAGGTTATACCTAGGGACCTACCAAAATCACAATTTCACAGATTTCATGGAAACCAGGGAAAATGGCATTGTCCACACTTTCCTGTGAAATCAACCACAAATGGGGGGTTTAGTGATGTAGACTGAACGAAGGCACCCTCTGCCAATCAGTGGCAAAGGGCAGGGCTGCTGGGGTCACTCCACCAATCATTGGTGAGGAGCATGTCTGCCATGAAATTCCTGTAAAACTGGCTCTGTATGCCATGAGTGGGCCACGAGAAACCCTGTGACTTAGGTGGGTCCCTAGTTCCTACTTCCTGCATTTACTCTACTTACAGAACTCTGCTTTCTATCAGTCCATTCATAGCATCTGATGAAGTAGGCTGTCACCTGTAAAGGTTACGCATCTCTCTACTAGGTAGTCTCTAAGGTGCCAACCTGCTCTACCTTCTGCCTGACTCGAGACTAACAAGAGCTAACTGTCTAGAAACAGGGTGCATCTGCACATGCAATTAGCATGTAGCAATAAACTCCATCACAGTTTGCACCGGAGTTTATTGTTCCTAGTTGCAGCATTTACACATGTGCTGGGGATCACAGCATGCTGAGCTGAGGTGCAGCATCCCTGGCTGGCAGAGGCCCAGGAGGTCAGCATGCCAGCCCAGAGCTGCTCCACCCCAGCTCAATGTGCTGTGGAGGAGCTGGCTTGGGCACAAAGGTGGTCCAGTGTGGAACTAGCTGGCAGAAGCCCCTGCACTGTAGCACCCTCATGCCCCAGCCAGCCCCAGTCATCATCTAGACATGTGTTTCACCACACAACTGTAGGACAGTACTTTTCCCAGACAGAACTATCCTACAGCAGAGTTAATTTACTGTGCTCTAATATGTGCGTACATGTAGACAGTGATGCTTTACTGTTGAGCTAATTATCTCTGCAATAAAGTGCACATATAGAAGCACCCACAGAGTGTATATCTGTATAGATGAATAGAGAATGCTGCACTCTTTCACTCCTTCCCTCTCAAGTCCTTTGTTCTTTATTTAGCCTTCCCCATAGCTTTGGTCTTGGAATTAACATTCGATTTAGGTTTATTTATGTTCACCCTTCTCTGAGCTATCATTTCAAAGTTATCTGCAGACCCAGACAGTTACTTTAGCATATTCATGCCTTAATCCAGCCATGATTAATTTAGTTCATATTAATTGGATGGAGTATTAAGGTCTAACAAAGTGCTATGGTGACACATGCCCACATTGGGTTGAGCATCTTTAATAAATCTTTTGCTGTCAATGATATAAGCATAGATATTAGATGTTTGAGAGTAGGAGATAGATAATATCTTGTATTGAGGTTGGCACAAAATAACACCAGTGCGCTTAATTTTTAAAACAATATTGGCCCTCATATCTGGGAGCTTTCATATACCTATAGCTGTATGTGCAAAGATTCTCCACAAACCTGGATTTGATTGTATTTAGTAACAATACTGGTCTTTTTTGACATAGAACTTCCTCTTCTTTTGAAATGCAAACAATAGACAATCAATGCCATTGTTATTCAACTATAATCATAGAAAATTAAGGTTGGAAAGGTGCTCAGGAGGTCACCTAATCCAACCCACTGCTCACAGCAGGACCATTCCCAACTTGATCATCCCAGCCAAAGCTTTGTCTAGCCAGGTCTTGAAAACTTCCAAGGATGGAGATTCCACCACCACCCTGGGTAACCTGTTCCAGTATTTTACTACCCTGCTAGTGAGAAAGTTTTTCCTAATATCTAACATAAACTTTCCTTGCTGCTATTTGAGACCATTGCTCCTTGTTCTGTCATCTGCTGCCACTGAGAACAGTTCATCTCCATCCTTTTTTTAATCCTACTTCAGTTAGTTGAAGGCTGCTTTTAAATCCCCTCTCAGTCTTCTCTTCTCTAAACTAAATAAGCCCAGTTCCCTCAACCTGTCCTCATAAGTCATGCACCCCAGCCCTCTTGCCATTTTTGTTGCCTTCTACTTGACTCTCCAATTTGTCCACATCCTTTCTGTAGTGGGGGGCCACATATGACTCCAGATGTGGCCTTACCACTGCTGAATACGAGGGGTCACTTCCTTTGACCTACTGGCAACACAACTACCAATGCAGCCACATATGCTGTTAGCCTTCTTGGCAACAAGTTCATACTGTTGGCTCATATTCAGCTTATTCTCTGCTGTAACTCATTTTCTGCAGAGCTTCTGCCCAGCCAATCAGCCCCCAGCCTGTAGTGGGGCATGGGATTGTTCTGTCCCAAGTGCAGGACTTTGCACTTGTCCTTGTTGAACCTCATGAGATTCCTTTTGGCCCAAACCTTCAATTTCTCTATGATTAGGTCACTCTGAATCCTGTCCTTGCCCTCCAGAATATCTGCTACTCCCCACAGCTTGATATCATCTGCAAACTCGGTGAGGGTGCACTTTTAGCCATCTTCCAGGTCATTGATGAAGAAGACATTGACTAAAACTGGGCCCAAGTTGAAGACATTGAACAAAACCAACCCCTGGGGCACTCCACTTGATACAGGCTGCCAACTAGAAATCAAGCCATTGATTACTACTCTCTAAGCCCGATGCTACAGCCAGTTTTCTATCCACCTTACAGTCCATTCATCTAGCCCACACTTTCTTAGCTTGCCTGTGAGAATGTTGTGGGAGACCGTATCAAAAGCCTTGCTAAAATCACAGTACAACACATGTACCAGTCACCCCGCATCCACAGAGTCAGTCACCTCATCATAGAAGGAAGATTGATCAGGCTTGACTTGCCCTTGGTGAACCCCTGCTGACTGTTTCTAATCATGTTTTTCTCCTCCAAATGCTTTGTAGTGGATTCCTTGAGGATCTGCACCATGATTTTTCCAGGGACTGAGGTAAGGCTGACTGGTCTGTAGTTCCTTGGAACCTCCTTTTTTCACTTTCTTAAATATGGGCACTGTGTTTGCCCTTTTCCAGTCATCTGGGACCTCTCCTCATCACAATGAGTTTTCAAAGATGATGGCCAGTGACTCTGCAATCACATCAGCCAACTCCCTCAGTACCCTTGGGTGCATCCCATCCAGCCCCATGGACTTGTACATGTCCAGCTTTTCTAAATACTCCCTAGCTTGTTCTTTCACTAATGAGGGCTGCTCGCCTCCTCCCCAAACTGTGCTGCCCAATGTCTGGGAGCTGACCTTGTGAAGATTGAAGTGAAAACGTCATTGAGCGCTTCAGCCTTTTATGCATCCTCTGTCACAAGGTCGCCTCCCCCATTCAGTAACGGGCCCACACTTTCCCTGATCCTCCTCTTGCTACCGATATATAGAAATG